TGTAATGTACCCAATAATTAACAAAATGTCATAAAATTTTAAGGCTACAACAAGTATAGAAAATTAACTACACAGAGATGAATTTTGAAATGGGTCAAAATTTGAACGGCCGCACTTCTAGTGATATGGTAATTAATTTTTGACAAAAATTTTATTTCGTTTATTTTTTAAATAAAATACGCTGCTCATGACATATACGCATGTTGTTTATATTAAATTAAAACTAATTTTTTTTAAGCTAATATGATGATATAAGTTTCTTCTTCTTCGCCGCATCCACTATCGCACTCCATCCTCTACGATCTTGTGCTTCTATTTCCCATTGTTGTACCCCAATTCTAGATAAATCGGCTTCAACATCATCGTTCCATCTTTTTCTAGGTCGGCCTACTGATCTTATACCATCTGGTCTTTCAAAAAACGCTGTCTTTAACACTCTGTCATCCTCTGATCGTACCACGTGACCTGCCCATTTTATTCGGTTTGCCTTGATATGTCTAACTATGTTTTCAGTTCCATACAGAGTCACCAATTCAGCATTGTGGCGTCTTCTCCAATGCCCTGTGAATTCATCTCTTTGAGGGCCAAATATTATTCTGAGAACCTTTCTTTCAAATACTAGAAGTTTATTGATTTTCTTTTTAGCAGCTTCGATCTTAATAATGTTGAAAGGGAGTATAATGCTCTATTTCTCGCAGGTATCCTTGCTGAGACCTTTTTCTATGTAGTTGTCAGCTGTGATTATCGAGCCAGGTATTTAAACTATACTACTTCGAAATTGTGATCATTAATACTGATGTTCTGCCTAACTCTTGGTCTTGTTTTTTGGTTATTACCATGTATTTCGTCTTTTCTTCATTTATTCGGAGATCCAGTTTCCAGGACCAGCAGGTCCTGTTTCCTCCTCGAGCTGTGAAAACAGCTCTCTCACGTCTCTTGTAGAATGCGTGACTGCATCTATATCGTCAGCAAAGGCCAGCTGATCCTTGATCAGCAAATCCTCCTGTCATGTCAGACGATATTTTACTTATTGCATATTCTAAAGCAAAATTGAACAGCAACGGTGACGAGGGGTCCCCCTACCTAAGTCCTGAACTTATACCAAATGGCATCTATGTTCTGCTTGATAAGTTTGCCTGAGAAAAAATGGTCGAAAATTTCTAATTACAAATTGCCCGCTGTTACAATCGCAAGGTATCGAAGATAAAATAAAAGACAGCTAGCGAGCAATGCTACTGGTTTGAAGTGTCAGTTGTATGAGTTTTTAAAGCATGCGTCGATAGATACAATATATATTTATAATAATATACATATTATCACTTGTCAAATCAGTGTTGTTGCACCCTAACTCTATTTTACTTTATCTTTGATACCTCGCGTTTTTAACAGCTGGTAATCCTAATTTTCGACCATTTTTTCTCAAGCAACCTTATATCATCAGATTTAGAAAAAAATTAGCTTTAATTCGGTATAAAAAACATGCATTACGTCATGAGCAGCTTATTTAATTTAAAAAATAAATAAACTAATAAATAACTACGTTATGAACGTAGTGGTCTTACAGTGGGATCTTGTACTATCAAAACGTTTTGTACGAGGAATCTTGTTCGTGAGAGAGTGCAACTACTTGTATAAATTCTCATTGGACCTTGACTAATAAATTAAATGGATCTGGTTTCATAATGATCTACAACTCTACTGGCTCTCAAAACTCAATTCAATACTATTCCATTGCTGTAAACATGAAGATGAATTTGTGGTGGAATCAAAAATTAACCTAAATAAAATACTATGCCTTTTTATAGGTAATTTAATAACTGCCAATATTTTCTATCTATAAAACCCAGCATTTGTAGACGATTTCTGTAACAAAAATAAAAAAAAATGGAATAATTTATTTTATAAGTCAAACATAACATAATTAATGTATTAAAGACCTAAGTCATTTCGTTGTCTGTCCGTCGCACCAATGTGACAAAAACGTTGAATCATTTTCAAGAAGAAGTAAGAGGAGAAAATTTATCTGAAATAAGAAATCTCAACCAAATCTTATACATCAACAAATCTTACTGAAGATAAATCATAAGGATGAGTTTCTTAAATATCGTTCTCCCATCAACAATAATAGCAGTTTAATTGCTTCATTTCATATTAGTCGATATAACAATAACAATAATTATTTTTTTATAAACATACATTTAGTTGACAAACATATTCAATTGACTCTTTGGTCGCAACTAAGAAACCGACAGATTGTCTCTGAAGAAGAACACAATTGGCATGGGGCAAACTAGCATATATCTTGAAAAACCCCTCCATTCCTGTAAACTTAAAGAAAAGGTGTATAACACATGCATACTACCAGTTTGTACCTACGGCTTGGAGACAGTTTGGCCCTTACCAAAAAATCTGCTAAACAAATAGAAACAACGCAAAGATTAATAGAACGAATCATGCTTGGAATATCACTAAGAGACAAGATTAGAAACACCGAGATAAGACGTAGAACGAAGAATAGGGATATTGTGGAAGAAATTACAAAATTAATTGGCGCTGGGCAGGTCACGTAGTCCGATATAATGATAACAGGTGGACACGGAGAATTCTAGAATGGAGACCAAGGACGACAACAAGAAGCGTGGGAAGACCTCAAAAAAGATGGGTAGATGACATAAGAGCAGTGGCAGGCAAACGGTGGATTAGATTGGCGCAAGATAGAGAAAGATGGAAGCAATTGGGAGAGACCTACATTCAGGAGTGGATGGAAAACGGTTGGAAAAGAAGAAGAGAAGATTGTTGTTTTATTTGGGTACCAATCTTGTGGTCCATAATTACTTGGAAACATCTGTTGCATAGTATACATAGCATTACTGACATCACATATCTTTCTGCATGGAATCGCTTGCATTAATTTATATATTACCTCTTGTCTCCACATGGTATCGTACGATGAAAACGGTTGCTATTTTTAGTTAATATTGAAAGCCCGTTTCTACATAAGTATTTCTAGTACTTGGACTGTGCAGCTGCGGTTTGGTCGAAATCCTGCTTCTTCCACAGGTATATGTTGGAGTATTGCTTGGCTAATTATAGAGCTTTTTTTTTCAAAAAGCTTGTAGACCATACTTAGAAGTGCAATTGGTTAGCTATTTTCTGGTAAATTGTTAGCTTTCCTGGTTGTAAAATGGCAACCATTTTTGCTCTTTTTAGTTGATTTAGTTGACATCCCGTCTGAAGAATGTCTGAGAAGAACTTTATAAGCCATTGTCTAATAAATATGCCACTGTTAGAAACTTTTTAGAAACTTAGATTTTACAGCCTTGAGGTCTTTTTTAACTTTAATTAGGTGAATTAGGTAATTTTTTGGGGTGAGGTGCTCTTGGGATATAGATTACAAGGGACGCCACTTGATTTAGTGTTACTAGATTAGTTGAGCGGCCGAGTGGGTTATGTGGTGCCTCCTAGTTTTTTCAATAGTGACTAGACTTGCCTACTCGAGTTTTTAAAATCTAGATTTTCGACTGTCTTCGTCACAATTCACAGAATTTTTCTAACAGTTTTTCGCTCATCTGAGGCCATCCAGAAATATACTCTTTGCGGTACCCTATAGGAATTGCTTCTTTTGATAGCCATTACTGCTTCCGTCAATTATCGTAGTTTAAGCTTTTTGTTGGAAGCCAGCCTAAACATTTATCAAGATTACTAGAGGAAGTAGGCTATCCTTAAGTTCCACCTAGGGCGTGAAAACGATCTTATACCTGTAATGATAATGCCGATTTTGATCAGAATAGAACGGTGCTGGCTATGAGGAAAATCAGACATACCTTTCTTGGTACTGGTAGAAGTTGGCCTTCGTCGTCATTGATATGAAAACAAAGATCGGGGTTATACTCTTTCTTTTAAGCTGCGGATCTGAATGTGCCTATATTCTTGGCGTCGAATTGGCATGTTACTCTGACTACTTTAAAAGGAACGAGCCATTTTTGTGACTGTTAAAATCCTCTACGTTTATGGCTGGGTGTTCGTAAGAGTTGACATGTGCATGTCAGGTGAGAGCAGGGTCTTGTAAATATTAGCTATTGTGATATCACCGCTTTTCACAGTTACCTCATGGATGTTGTTTTTGATAAAAGTAAAAATTAAGGTTGTATTTGCTGTTTGTGTGTACATATGTTTTATATATAGTGTAGGATTTTTCTTCTTGCGCTAAATTGGATAATTTCCTCTTGTATTTTGACCAGGTCAATATCGTTTTCTTTTAATAAACTGTGCAGAATTTAGAATTTTGCTTTGTTTAAGCCTTCTAAATTAAGTGGGCAAACTCGTACACTGTGACCGAGTTCTTTTGTCATTAGGTCATTAGAAAGTCCAACTTTGAAGCCTATAATTTCTGCTTGCCAGAAGATCTTGTGAAATATTGTCTGGCGGCTCTTGTGCTACTTCATTTAGATTACTTAGAGTGCATGTTCAGTATTCTGATACGGACGTGAACTAACTTTGTACCTACCATTTACTTATTACTAAACATTTTTAATAAAATAAAAAAAATATTTGTCAGGTACTAAAAATCACAAGTCTACTACTCGTACGATATAGTTTTTGCAAATAAACCATATTCCAGGAAGCTTGTCAGACAGAAGGCATTAACAGGCATCAGGCTTTAACAGAAGGCATCATAAAATTGGTTCGAATAGCAACGAAACTCGTCCTTTGTATTGCCCTCGACATGCACATTACACGAACTCTGTAACTTTTTACCTAATTAAATGCCTCTTTAATATATTAAGGGTACAAAATAACGATGTAAATTAGGTTTTAACTTAACACTGCGAAAATTAGACATAATAGACAGATTCTATGCAGTTTTTCACATAACTTGGTACTTATAGAGACAAATTATGTACACTTTTAGCATACAGCATAAATAGTGTACAGCTAGGGGATAGTTAATATCAACGAGATTGGCGTATAATTTAACTAATTCATTTTTAACTTTTCAGTTGTACATGATCCTATACCCAGACCTCCATTACGAAATATTTCTTCAAATGAAAGTGATCCCGACCTGAGAGCAGCGCTGGAATTAAGCATTGCGGATGAAATTAATTTTATTTCTCAAACTCAAGAATCTGAGGATAATGACCTTCCAGAAGCTTTAAGGTTAAGTATGCAAGGTTTTGCGACAACTTCCGAAGAAGACGATGAAGAAACGCTCTTAAGAAAAGCCATTAATATGAGTTTACAGTGTTAGTTATGGTTAATTTGATTGTGACGATATGTTCTGTAAATAATATAAATAATATTTTGTTGGATAATAATTTGAATCATTAAATTATTTTTATACATTGTCTTATTATTACTTGAATATGGCTTAAGTGGAAACATCTGACATAACAGTAAAATTTGCACAATTTGTTAAAAGTACGCAACTCTTACTAGAAAATTTATCAAAAGAACAAGTTAATCGCAGTAATATTTTTGTATGTTTAATATAAATAGTTTTTAATGAATGTAACATTAATCCTTTACTCGCTATATCCCTGACTAAACTAATAAAACGTCCATTAAGCAATTTCGACCTTTTTTTAATTGCCAGATTCCAGTAAGAGCCTAAGAAGATATCCATTGAATTCTGACGGGCAACGGTGAGGGAAATATTTTTTAGACATCTAATCTCACGAAGCAAGACACCCTGGCATCTTTCGACCGAGTAGGATACTAGAAGACCAGGTAGTGCCGGATTAACCGTGTTCCTGCTAAAACCTTAACCACCGTTCCAGAGTAGTGTTCTTGCCACTCAATAAACAACTAAAATCCATATAGTAACCGTCACTTTTAAAGAAAAATAATACCTATCACCATAAAGCCGCGTTTTCACGATGACAATTGGCGAGACAATTGTCATTGGACAATTGTCATCACGTGGTTGCGGATTGTCGGAGGCCAGTCCAGTTGAACGAGAAGATGTTTATACGGGGCCAACTATTGCCATGCCAGTAGACAGCTACAAATAACACAAACCACGTATATGTTTTGACTGACACCAGAGAACAAGAGGGAACTGGCAAAAAACAAGACAACACTACTAGCCTACACCGTTTACACGGCGCCAATTGTCGCGACAATTGAGATTTCGAGTGGTGGGGGGCTCACGGGGCGCAGCTCATTGTCATCAGTCTACTCCCGGAGACAACTGAATTTTGGGCCAATTGTTAGGGCAGTTGGCAAGGCAATTGGTCTGAAGTGTTTAGACGAAGACAATAATTTCATACCATTAAGTTGTCTTCTGACAATTGTCTCGCCAATTGCCATCGTGAAAACGCGACTTAAATCAGAAAAAAAATTATTTCAAAATTGCTTGTTACCAAAAGAAATCACAAGAACGAAAATATTTCCGTGAGGCCATAAACTAATTTTGGCACTTACCGGTTCTTGGCTCTCGAGAAAAAAGAAACAAGATTTTAAATCCCTGGTTCAATTTCCTCCTCTCTCCTCATTTTTCTTTTTCACCACCCCAGAGATCAGACTGAACCTCTCTTCATTCTTTCTCAACTCTGATCATTATGTTTACTATATTTCTTATCCAGCCTGAAACCGATTCGCCTCTCGAAGTTTCCCCTCTCATTTGCCCATCTCTGACAGTTAAAAATGTGGGAGGGAGTGGCCGGTAACCCCCAAACAGTACAGTCTGCCGAGGCAGACTTGCCTATTCTATTTGTAAAGATGCCAAAACTACCATGTCCGGTCAGGAAGTAGTCTAGTTTCCTGAACTTACATAGAATAAGCTTCTTCGTCCACCTTATTTTTCCGCTATCATTTGTCCTTTTCTCTGCCCACCCTCTATCTTTATTTCTCTCTCTTTCTCATCTATATTTCCATCCATCCTCCTCGCCTTTCGATTTAATTTTAATTTCGGCCTTTAATATCTCCTTCTAGGGACATAAAGCGATTCTAATGCTTCTCTAATAGCTCGAATCATTTTTAGTAAAACAATTTTTCTTTGATCTCAAAATACTTCCCCGTTTTCGCAGTATTAGATCCTTATTTGATCCAAATCTTTTTACCTGGAAAATTCTTTTGAACTCGAAATACTCAGTGGTCACTGGGATCCAAAGGAAATAGGTATTAAGGTGGTGTAATAAATATTGAGACTATATCTTTATTTTCTAACAACTATATGCTACATACTTATAATTTATTATATGCAGTGCTACTTTCTACATAAAGCTTGTCAACTTAAACAAATATCCATATAAACGTTCACCACTAGACATTACGCAATATACATGTACAATATAAATGTATTACATTCCCCACAATAAGTATATGGTGGCAGGCGGAATCAGTTCAAACTTAAACTTATGTAATTTTCACGTCGTTACGATCCAATTGTAATATACGGGACATATCGTCTTTCGACATATCTTTCTGATTAAAAAACTTTAATAAAAAATGATGAACATACTTACTGCCTTCTCATATGTCACATCTTACTAATGCTTATGTTATGTAGAAGGATCTGTCAAATTTACCACATCAAAAGAGAACGACTAATCCTCACTTTGAATGTTGTAATATTTAAGAAAAATATGAAACTCAAGTGTACAGGAAATCAACAAACACCAACAGATATTTAAAGAATAATTTAAATCGTTGATCAATAAAGCTAAAATTATTTATTTTGATGAAAATAGGTTTCTAGAAGATAACCCTTTATTAAACTATATGTTGTTAACAATAATTATCATTTATAAACAAATAACTTCACAAAACTAAAACCAAACGGGACCGCGAATAATATACAGTATTCAATCGCTGGGGTAAGAGAAGGGTATGTTTGGAGAGGGATCCACGATTCAAAGAGAGGAGAGGAAGGAATAAGTAAACTTATTCCAACGGTCGACACCAGGCGAACCGCGGTCCGAATCAGGACCGCAAAAGGTTGAACTGCGGAATATAGATTGCTGAGTCAATCAAGTTCAAAATAAAACTGCTGTCAATTTTCAAATAGGAAGTGAAATGAAAGTGATGAAATAATGTTTTCTAATAATATTGTAAGTTTACAATAACTGAAATATATAAATCTGGGGAATTCTGTTCAAAATCTGTCAACAGTGACACGCACGTAGCGCACTACCGGTAATTTGTTTTGTTATTACTTGCGTTTTCGTTCGTTTTATAAAACATCTTTTTGTACCTACGTTAATATGGATCCGAAAAGGAGAAAAGAGGACAGTGAAAATAGTTTCTAGTAGAATGGACTGAACAATATTGTTTTACACTGCCTGATAGGCCGCAAGCGGTTACGGTGTGCCTTATATGCAATAAAACTGTCACCTTAGTTAAAAGTGGAAATTTGAAGCGACACTACGAAACAACTCATCAGCAGTTCCACAAAAACTTTCCTCTTGGCAGTCAAGCGCGTAAAGAAAAACTTCGGGTATATCTTAATTCTTACGAAAAAAGCACAAAAATCCTAGTTCGCTGCATGAGCGACCAAGAAAAATCCACAGAGGCAGCGTTACGTGTATGCTGGATACTTAATAAACACCAAAAACCATTTTCTGATACTGAGATATTGAAGGAATGTATGCTGGTAGTAGCTAACTTACTTTTTAAAGAAAAAAAGATGTTGCCTCAGCAATTCAAAGCATCTAATTGTCAGCGCGATGTAATACACGAAGAACACAAATTTTAGTTGCGGATATTAAAAACTCTCTTCTTAATCTTTTGCAAAAGGCACCTTGATATGCCATAGCACTTGACGAACCATGTGACATTGTTGATGATGAACAAATGTCTGTTTTTGTAAGATTCTTGATATTGAATGTCAAATTTTTAGGGAAGGGTTGCTAGCAATATTGCCGCTGAAAGGTAACACTCGAGGATAATTGATGAATTAATTTCTAAATCCAACATCAGTTATAATAAAATAATATCGCTTTCTATTGATGGGGTACCAGTGCATGATACACCAGGCAGCTCTTTGTGGAAAACTTCGTGCTAGACTTAAAGAAGTCATGGACAGTTTAGTAAAGTTAATTATTTTTATGAGATCTCATTCTCCTCGTCAGCACCGAGATTTCAAGGAGTATAAGGAAGGTGATCTCCTTCTTACAAAATATAGATACGCAGGGAATCAGGGCACATTTTGAGTATATAACAAACAGGCGCAACATGCTGGTTGTGGCCTTTCTAAAAGATATTTAAAAATATTTGAATGCGCTTAACACAAAGTTCCAAGGAAATGGAAAATTAGTAGTAGAAAAGCAGTATATTAATACTTGTTTACAAAACAAAGTAGATATATAATGATACACAAAGTACATGGCGATAAAACTACTTAGTAACACAATGAAAATATGGGAAGGGAAAGAGTAATTGATTCACGAATAAAGAAGGCAAATGCAAACAGATGCAATTTTCATTATAAGGTAGCTGACGGAAAAATACAAGAATAAAAAAACAAATGTTCAAATGTATTCATTGATCTGAAAAAGCATATGGTAGAGTTCTTTTGTGGTGAGAACTCAATAAGAAATGAGTTTCTGCACATGAAATGAAGTGACAACTAGTCTAATGACAGGTTTAGAAAAGACTGATAAATTTTATGTAAAAGTAGGATTACATCAGGGCTTAGTGCTTAGTCCTTATTTATTCTCAATATTATTGCATCAGATTACAGGGTAACATTCCCCGGTGTGTAATGTATGTTGATGATGTAGTATTAGTAGAAAATATTGAAATGGTTTTAGAACAAAACCGAAAAACCGAACAAAGCCAAAAAGTTGACAAGTGCAGATGAGCGTTCCTGTTCTTATGCATCCACACTCTTAAGTGTCGATGTGTGTAAAATAGATACTATCGAGGTTTTGCTTTGCCCGTGTTTAAAAAGTCATTATAAAAGTATTACTTACATTATTTAATTAAAATATCTAGCGGGGGTGAGAGTCATAGCCGCTTTCCATGCTTTAAGTTCTGCTTTGGCGATACATGTACTTTTTTCGGACAGAACTGCTAAATACATACAAAATGCCTCTTCAATTTCACAACGGGCCGCAAAATTTGACTTCCGACTGCCTTTCGACGATATGTGCCATAAGCAGTATACCACCATTTTCTTCAAGCAACACCTTCACTTCTTGTGTAATGTGTCTCAAAAGTAGCAGAACATTAATAAAATCATGGAGTTATTCGAGAGCATGCAAAGTCGCTGAATAAATTTCCTTTGAATCTTATAATGGCTTCATGCTAGTGAACCCAATTTGTTTCGAACTTCTCAAGCAGG